GATGTGTCGGTCAATTAAGTGGGTTAGTTGAAGTTAGACATTAACACCGTCAGATGCTGACTCAGTGGTTAAGCGCTCGCATGCGAGGCGGGATCGTGGATGCGCACTGCTGGAGTCCCACAATCGGAAGAAACGACCGTCCAGTGCTTCTAGGTTTTCCATGGTGGTTTAGCTTCAATTGATTCATGATCTCAACTATTAAAATTACTATAATATCCACAAAACCCTTTCTGATATTATTTACCATTTTGTATATATACATATTAATGAATTTCAAGAATCAGAGTAATTTTTAAACTAATGTTTCGAGTTTTTTTTTCTAATTCAATTTGAAGTGATACTTAATCTTAGATAAATCGTATTCCAAAACAGATTTACTAGACTATTGTTTCGATTCTCGTTGTTCGTTCTCCTACGTTTTTTTATTGGTAATATTATCCTGAATCCATAACTTCAACGCAGCTAATTAGCGTTTTTAACTTTACGTGATAAACACTAAAGTTTGCGCAGATGATGTCGTTCAGAAGAACAATGAAAGCTCCACGACCAAACTATTCAGCTCAGAGAACAAAACTCCATCAAAATAGTTTGCTTTATGTTTGAAATTGAATATTATACTAAGAATTATCGGAATATTTCCATAAAATTTCCAAACTGTTCAATGATACAAAATTAACCCCAAGTTACTCTTATCTAATTATTGCTTTGAGAATATACACAAAAAGGTCCATACATTTGTATTCATTTTTAATCTGATTAGTCAGTCACCGGAACAACTGCCAGAAGCTCCTAGATCTTTAAAGTCATTGGTTAGCATAAAAAATAGCTGCGATTTTCATATTAAACCAACACTGTTAATCAAGTTTTCGGTGTATATTTACACACTATATGTTTTTGAGACAGATTTCTGTGAGCCTAGAGACTGCCTACAAAGTCAAGGCTTCAGGTATAAACAAAATTTATGATTAACCATGGCATAGATACATCCACCGTCCATCTTATGAATTTTAAAACATTTCGTCGCTTGACATTTCTCCTTCACGAAGTACTTTCTATAAAATCGCTGCACAATAATGTAGATACTTTTTCGGTAAACCTTATTCAAATGAATCAATATTCCAATTAAATTAATAGTCACACTAGTCTAATGTATTGATTTTACTCAATCATTAAGAACATCTACTGGTATAGTGAACAGATATCGCTCTTTGTTTTGACTCAATACTATCAGTTTCGTGAATTGGCTGGTATAATTTAATTAGCATTTATCTGTTTATTTAGCTTTTAAATACTGCATATAAAAGCACGATTTTCATAGTTATATACAAATGTCTTCTATGGACACGTCACGGTAGCGCATCTCAAACTGACACATAAAAAAATCAAATAAAGTGAGAGTTAGAGCTTGAAATGTCTTCGGAGAAAATCGTGGTTTTTTATACACCGCTTGCTCTCTAAGTGGGTTGAAAATCCCCGAGAATGCTCAATAACCCCACAAATCGAATATTGAAAAACAGATGCGCTACAAATTCATGGATATGCACCTTTCTCGGTTTCATGCTGTCTGACACTAGTCAGGAAGGTGTCTGTATCATCGAGGAAGCGACATAACGTATTATACGAACATTAGACTCGAGCAGTAATAAATTAGTTGACAGTAAGCTATTAAATTTAAGTGAGTTCTTTTTTGAATGTGCGTAATTAGTTAATCTAAAACGAGGAAGGGCAGCTGGTCCAGATGGATTGGCCCCAGAGGTCTTTAAGGATGGTGGTCGAATTCTAGCGACTAGGTTGACTAATATTTCAGCTAAAATCTGGGAGTTAGACGTTATCCCATCTAACTGGTCACAATCACTTATCGTCCCAATATATAAGAAAGGGTCAAAATCATCCTGTGACAACCATAGAGTGATTAGTTTGACTAATATAGCATCTAAAATACTAGCCTCGATAATTATCGGACGCCTAACTAAGACTCGTGAACTTCAAACACGAGAGAATCAAGCTGGCTTTAGACCTGGTCGTGGCTGCATCGACCACATATTCACCATTCGTCAGGTTCTAGAACACAGGCATACTTATCGGCGTCCGACAATGGTGGTCTTCCTTGACGTAAAAGCAGCGTTTGACTCTGTTGACCGAGAGGTTCTGTGGCAGTGTCTGTCATTGAAAGGCGTACCTCAGAAGTACATAAACCTTGTGAAGGCTCTTTACTCGAACACTACTAGTCGAGTGAGAGCTTATGGCGAACTGTCATCTGCTTTCACAACCTCAAGTGGGGTCCGTCAAGGCTGTCCACTTTCTCCATTTTTGTTTAACTTCATCATAGATCTACTGATGGAAATAACGCTCTCATCGACTGAATTCTTGGGTATCGATCTCCTACCAGGAGGTCCACTTATTGACTTAGAATACGCAGATGATATAGTCCAGTTTAGTGAAGACGCTGATGAAATGCAGAGTCTTTTGGTAGCACTGAGCAACAATGCCAGAATGTTTGGGATGCGCTTCTCTCCCTCTAAATGCAAGTTGTTGCTTCAGGACTGGTCTGCGTCAACACCTGAACTAAGGATAGGGAGTGAGGTAGTCGAACGGGTTGACAACTTCACTTATCTTGGAAGTCTGATCAGCCCTAATGGGTTGGTGTCTGACGAAATCTCAGCACGGACTAAAAAAGCTCGTTTGGCTTTTCCCGACTTACGTCACCTATGGCGAAGGCGAGATATCCGTCTATCAATTAAGGGACGAGTATACTGAGCGGTAGTTCGTTCCGTTCTACTATACGGCTGTGACTAAACTATTCACATAATAGGAACGCAGCACTCTACCTTTCTTGTTTATGGTAGATACGGAACTAATTGCCTTTAATGATTATATAATGTATAGTGTATTAGTATACAGATTTCTCTGTCATTCTTTTTTTCAGGACTTTTTGATGGAAGTCGCTGTCACTGGACAAATCAAAACATCACATTCGAAATCCACTTATTGCTTGTAGTTGGATTATTTCTGTAATCTGTTCATACTAAAAATAAAATTCCCTAGTTGATTTTATTAATTTAAATGTAAAGCAGAAAAAAGGCTATATTGAGCAAACGGCAGCTCACTTGGATTGTATTACATATATATTATAGTAGCTTCGTAAGAAGTCCATATAACTTGCTAAGAATTAATATTCATACATACACGACGTTTGAAAGCACGATAATTTGGCTCTATCTACGGTGTTAGGAAGTTGAAGCATTCTCAGGCCTATATTGAACTCAGTTCTTCGTTAGGTTGGTAATCTGGATAATTTAATTTAGAAGTTTGTACGATAATATTCCTGATTATGTATGTATGGTTTCGAATTCATAACCATTTCCGTAATGCAAACAAACATTTTTTACAAAAGTCACAAGTATTTCCGATGTTTTTTCGAAGTTATAAACTTGATGTCTACTTGATATTAGGTCGAATTGATAGCATGAATGGATCAACGTTAGACCACTATTGAAATCCTGGGAGCACTGAATGGCTCCTCAGCAGCGCGCATCTAAGATCCCGCACGCAGGATCAGAACCCAGGACCTTCGGACTCGCGCGCGAACGCCTAAACTCTAGATCACTGAGCCGGCATTCAACGGCGTTGATCGATTTGCGATACTGCGCGACCGTCCATCATTGTCTCCGGTGAGTAACTGCTACACAAAAGACACTGGCCAAAGTTTCTCACTAGAACTCCAGGAAATTCATCTTGAATGGTGGTCTAACATCGATCCATTTATGATATCAATTCAAACTCAACAATTTCCACAATCCTATACTGATAGTCTACTTGATATTTGGAATTTATTTTGTAAACGCCGTTCTAGGAAGTTGTATTAGGCAATGTTTTTCTAAAAACACCAATTTATACATGTAACTAGAATTAGCTAGATTATCTCCTGCCCTTAAATTACGAGGTCCGTTCAATGGAATAATTTGTGTGCTGTGTAAAATAGAAATTCTCTATTAGTGATAGGCAGCCGGTCCAACCCAACATTCAGTTATCAAAAGTTATCTATGTCGCAAAGTACTTTTACAGTGTATTATACCTAAGATGTCATGCTTCAGTGTTTAATGCTGATCGAATTCCATCGATCACGTGGCAATATGTCCAATATCCTAAATAATTTGACATCCCGTGCACTACCTCATTTTAGACGGTTGGAAGCAATCAACATAAAACACTGCTCCAGATATCTTACAGATGGGTGTCTTACAACAAGGTTTATTCGCCTTTATTTTGAAACCACCTAACTGTTGGAGTATTCAAGCTTTATCTAGCACTGCAATAGTTCACGCAAGGTTCAGTCACTTGGACCAGTGATCGTATTGCAGGTTGATCAACCATATGACATACAAGAAATGAACATGTCTTAAACGTCATTCTTGACATGAATAGCCTAGTGTCGAATTTGAAACTTGGTTATTTATATTCGAATGCCTCAAATAGTATCCAAACTATAAACATGAGATGGTTTTAAGGAGACCCTTTCACCTGAGACTTCAGATAATTACAAACAGAGGATTTATTCCTACTACACCCACACATTCATAAAGTGTAAGGGCATTATTTTATAATTATGGATCTCGGAAGGATCGCGTGTCCATAAAATGTGGTGAATCTCCAAAGTGAAGTCATCTACTAAAATGGTTTGCAGTGATTTAATCTGGCTCATTGCTAAGTCACAGCACGCTGACCGGACGAGTTGGATTGTGTCTAAACGAAATTGATCAAAAGACAAGAGACGAATAAATACTCCAAAAGTTTTCGAGATTACAACCCCGGAAGACGTTTACATCATTAGCAGTCTAATCATTATGAATTTGTGAACTAAGAGTATTTTTGTATTTATATTTCATATGGAAATGTAGTCTGAATGCACCAAAACTACTTATTCTGTGATCTGAAGGCTTTGATAGTATTTTGGAATATTTGACGTAAGTCACTGTAATTACAGAAAACACCAGCTCCATGAAACATCAAATAATGTGTAATCTCTGAGACACTCAGGCTCGAAACTTAAATTTAAACTAAGTGTTTCTATCAACACACCTACGTGTTACAATTTTCAATTATCGATGTTCAAGCAGAAACACGACAGATTCCCAATGTTTAAAATCATGTTGTTTACTGAAGAAATGATTTGCCCCACCTCCACATCGAAAAAATAATACGCAAAACCAACAATCTTATTTTCAAAGATCAAAATTTATCAATGGATGGTGGTAGAGAAAAGCTAAAAGATAATCGTCAGTCAATTTGAGGTTGCAATGTAAAAAGGTACAGACTGGTTAGAGAAACAAAGTCATGTTTAATTACACAGTGGTGGCGCGCGTGTAAATGCACTTCAAAAGGCTAAGCGGATATCTAAACAAACACATGATGTCCTGTCATTATTGAGATGCAGTCTGAAAATGAAAGAGCATTTATGCAGAATACTAGGAGGAAGACCATCTACACTGCATACGATTATGAACATTTTGTGGAAAGATAAACCTAATAACTTTAAGAAAGCACATTTTAACTCAAAATAGTTAGCTTTTGGAACAAAAGGCAACGTATGTAAAAGGACACCATAAGATCTTGGTGAAATATCATAAATCCGCAAATATTAACTTGCTCTTGCCTTATTACGGTTTTGACTACGTCTAGAGGTACCGTTATTCTGTTTTGATGTTTGGTCGTCATTTACATTATGTGCGCCCAAATTATCATTTTTAATAGCTTTATTGTCAGCTTGTGGATTTCCATGATCACCGGTTGACATCACACCTTAAGAAAATAGGAAAGATAAACATGTGATATTTGGGAACACAAGACAATCAAATACATATTGGAATATCAAAAGTCAGCACTACTACATGAGTAAGATTATCATCTAATTATAAATTTTCATGACACGACAAACAAGCAACGAAAATATCTTGTCATAACGTCTAATAACCATGTTGTGGTGCATATATATATATATATATATATATATATATATATATGGGGCTCTCTTATACTAATATTTATGTATTCAAATAGATAAATAGGAAACCTTTGGTTACATAAAAAGCCTGTTACTGTCAGAACATGTTGCTTTACGCTGTTTATGGTCCTTACCTTCAATAATTTCTTGAAATGAAATGTTTTAAAAAATCAAACCATAAGTCCTCAAATTGTGTGCAGCCATCTAAACAATTCTCAGCACTGGATGAAATTCGACAGAACTTTTGTGCACTGAAATTATTTGAGGTGTTGCTCAATGTTTCTAGATATTTATTTTGAAACAGAACTAAGGCTAAATCGAATGCCTAGGATTTTCGTGTACTTTAATCGATAAACATAATGAAGATTTTCAGTACAGTATTTATACAAATCTCAAGAAATCCAACTAATATAATATAAACGCAAGTATTTAATAATGAACATCAGTGAAATTAAATATACCGTTAGAATAACAAGAATACGAATCATTGACTGATGATTGACGATTTTTCATATTATTATTGGGTACATCTGACTGGTGGATATTTTTGCCACGCAGGTGTTGCCCATGCGCATTAGGTGGATGAGATACTTCTTTTTCATCCACAGATTGCTCAGGAACAAAGCTCTCAGGTTGTCGACGACCGCGACCCACAGTTCGATTCCTTCTGAGAAACGGATTCAGTTAAAAAGAATAAGAAATATCTACATATAATATAACGAAAAGCCTTAGTCATACTCGACAAATGTCCAGCAGCCCAAGTTGCAAAATAACATCAACAAATCGAGGTGAAATTAATCTATTAAATGCCATAAGAGTTGAGGCACTATTACTATTTATGATAAAGACTATGTTCGGTGTATACAGTTCTAAAACGGATAAATTCAGAAAACGAGTATGAATAAAATATTGAAGCCCAAAACTTAGGAAAAGATAAGTGAATGTATCTGCGAAATTGTGATTGTACCTGAGGCACTTTAACCAATGTTTCCGGCCACTGACCACGCACATCTCAACCAAGTAGTCTGCATCTCCTGACACAGTTTGGACTCGAACTAATTACATTATATCAGATGATAACAAACATGCATAAATAAGTCCTCGATTTGAAGATGCTTTACACGAGCCTTTGTTAATTCCGGCTTATGAAATCAGAAAAGAAGTCTTTAGGTTCGTATTTAAAATAAATGGAAAAAGATGTAGGTTCTACGTTCAAAATTACTGCCGACGAGAAATTATGACTTAATTTTATTTAGTGAATGTGATTTATTCGAACTACATTGATAGCTGTGAAAATCATTGTGAAACAAAAAGTTCTTATGTTAAGTAGGCTACATTTAACACTAATTGTATACGCCAATGTGTGTGAACTAAATTATTTATGCCGACTCTTAATCGATAAAGACTGCTGAGAAAAGAGTATATTATAGATTGAAAATCTAATAAAAGTAACTGCATTTTAAGAAGGTTCACCATTCAAAAGTGCAACTGACAGGATTGTCAAATCTGAAAAATATGAGTCTACAATCTATGAAATTATAATGTTCTACTAAGCGTATAAAGACGAAATACAGCCATGAGAGTAAATATTTGATTGGAATCAAAGTATGTAAACAAATAATGCCATAATTCATGAAGTTCGGTCACAAACCAGAATAAACTTAAAATATAGACTAAATTACAAAATATTTTAAAATAAATACAAACCCGAAATTCCCACCACCTCTACTAGGCCTGCCATTCGAAATGCGAGTAGGTGATGCAGAATCCGACTGGTGATTGAGTTGATTGGTTTGACGCAACTGACTAAACAACGATCTTCTGGCTTCCTAAAGTAGATTAAATAAGGTTACAAAAAAAACGGGGTGATATACAATTGCGATGAATAACCTAAACAATTCACATGTAACTGCTTTTATAAAATGACGGAAACACTGTTAAAGTAGTAAACAAACAGATAAATAAATAACAATATGTTGATTTTGAATGGAAGCATTAAATTGATACAAGAAAACCACATACTTCTAATTCATCTAATTCATTCCAATTATCTGCTTGGAATTCAAGTAGTAGACGCATTTTCGCAACAGATGAACGTGTACCAACAAGAGAGAAAGCAGGGGATAAGTCGACGATACCACCGGAGTTCTTATCATCATTCAAGTAACCGTCAAGATTGACAGAAAGCTTTTCGTTCCCGTTGTCAGTTTCTTCACCGTTTGATGTGTCTTCATGAGCATCACCATCCGTTACAGAACCTCCACGTTCCAAGTCAACACGTACTGGGCAATGACTTTGACGTTGAGCCATTAGTCTGCGCTTTCTAGCGAAAGGATCAAGTAGCTTAGCTCGCCGAACACCTGCGGCTTCTGCTAATTTGCGAATATTCATGCCTTTTGATCCGATCAGTCTACTTGCTAATCGTGGTTGGACTGGAATTTCAACTTCAGTGAAATCCAAAAGATTTCTCACCGCGTGACATGCTTCAATAGTCTGAACAACAAAAAAGTGATAGGATAAGACAGATATAAAGCTCATAATAAAAATGATTAGTTGGGAACTTATTTCAGAAAGCGTCCGGTACTAGTGTTAGACTGTTTGAACAATCAACGTACAGATGGAGTAAACTAGTACCGTAGTATTGATATCTACCAGATTGTTGCTTGAGCAATATTTGCCGAAATTCCCACTAACTCCCACGTTTGATGTTCGCCGAAACAACGGCTAGTAAAAAAAGCCTAATAATACACCGAAATATGCTCCAGAGAATATATCATACTCCGCTGATGTTTTCCTTCTTTCTCTCGATATATATACTTTGCGATTGCATTTGATAGTGTCAACATTATTGTCTAGACTAACGACGATAAAGCAGTCACTAATCTTCTTAGCACACTCCAAAATATACCAGGTTTAATTACCCTACCTACTGGATGAGCTAAAGCTCCTTATTCCTAATCACTATTCATTCCGCAAATTGTATCATAATTCCATTTGAGCATATGCAGAGTGGCAAAATGGCATGAGGAACCGTTTAAAAGGCTATTTGCAAACCTACAGGAGATGAAAAGTTACTGATATGAACTTGGATGAATGTTTGCATAAACAAACGTCTTGATTCAAGAGCTTAAAAAGCTATTATAAACCTTAAAATTTACACTATCCAGAAACGTACTCAATAGACGTTCACTAGTCTCTCAGGGTTAGCTTATTAAAATAACTCATCTATGAGTTTACCGATTGAGATGTGGATCAAAACTTTTCAGATCAGCATTAAACTACAACTTGCCTAAAATCTTTAGTTCAAAAAAATAAAAAATTTCATTTCATATTACTTTAACGCTGCAGTTCGGACGGCCGAAAACTGAGATACTGATATTAATTACTATAAATTACCTCAGCTTCTACATGGACAATTCCATCAAAAAGAAGATCCACCGCACGAACTCCAGGTATTCCTCGAGCTTCTTGAATAGTTGCACCACGATGCCCAATAGCAAGACCAATCAAATGTGGCAAAATTCGGAAACGACATTCATAACCAATAATCATTCCGCCAGACGCTTGTTTGTCACTGGACACAGTTGCTGGCATACTTATAGGTTTACAATGAATTGCAGGAGCATCGCCATCTTCAACATCTAGTTCACCGCTGTTGGACAATTCCAGATCACCAGTTTCCCCTTTGGATAAATTTCTTAGCTACAAAAACAACAATCACACTCGATCATTAAATACAACATTTCATAATTCAGGCAAATTAAAATACCCGTGACATAGCTTTAAGCTGTGAGACAATTTAACACTAAACATACTTTTTATATCTTGGTGGAACAATTAACAAAAAAACCTACCAAATGAAATCGAACAGCCAACAAACGAATGTGGCCCAATTCTAAGAAAGTTGCGCGTCGAATTGCTTCAGACGAACCGGACCAGATATGGAGCAGTACAAGAGGTCCATTGGCTCCAGGTAGACCTGTCAAGAGGATGTTTGGGTCTGTAATCCCTGCTGGACTCAGAGTTCCGGCAATATACGGAACATTCATCATAGCTGCTTGTGATATCAGAGATGGTGAAGGCCATGTATATGTCGATAGACACAAGGAAGGACTCATTGATCCATAGTCTGCATGAACTGGTGTGTGTCGTCCAGATCCATTTGATCCCTCTTTATCTCCTAGTATCAGTTTCGCAAACGTCCCTGGGAGAAATGGTTCAGAATCACACTGGATAAGGCAAGGAGCACTACAAAATTTAGCTAAAGTTGAATGCGATTCTGGATTGGCTGCTCTACACAAAAAATAAAATTAGGTTGACAATCGAAAATTACTGACATTAATTCTGAGGAAACACAGGATTAAATATATAAGTCACGTGGCCAAACTAAAAATTACCAATAGAAATTACATCTTTAAGCATGAATTATTACAGAAACAGAGAAATCGAACAAAAATTCAGCAAATGGTGAACGAAGTTGTTTTAGAGTTTACATTATTTCAAAGGTCCTCCTGTATATTTGTCGCCCACCGCTGTAAAGTATGATCTCTGGAAGTAGAAGTTATATGTATGCTGCTGCTAATTTGATTATAACTGTCTTTGAAGCACTGCTGGTGTGTGATAGTGCCACAAAGTAAGCAATATCCATATATTACATGAAATTAAACAGTTTACTGATGTGTTACGCAATTCCGATTATCGTGTGTTTTGGTGTATTAAGTTGGTAGTCATTAAGATGGGATATACGATATAGCCGTAGCCAAGAAAGGCATCAAGCCATAGTCGCTATTAGTCTGAGCTTTGTGGTGTACAGTAGGCTTTCCGTTTAGTAATAGCGAGCTAATCTCCAAAAACCTTAAGGATTGCGACCTGAAAATTAATTAAATGACAATACTTTATTACTCTTATTCATTTGCGATAAAGTACGTAGGTCTCTTCGGTTGCCTTGAATTTCTACGAACAATGAATAAAACGTGGCTCAGTAGATAGAGTGCGAAAGTCTCAAAGTAACATCGACGTCCTGTTTACAGAAAAAGTGATAGATGATTTGTAATTAACTTTTTCGAACTTTTCTAGCAGCTATAATGAGAGATGACACAAATGATAATATAAAACCATCAATTAACTATTTTTAATTTACCAAAACTTACCTAAATCCTAGATTTTCGTTAAATTCTGTTATATAAACATATCCTTGCAATGTGAAAATCGATCATGAGTGGTCAACTTTATAAGGTACGGTTTCAACTAACTACCATCTTCAATAAGCGATACAATATCATTTCCTGAACTTTGTGACCAGTCGAAAATTTCAATACATAAAATTGTGAATTGAAGGTCTCGGGTTATTGATTGTCTGTAAATGTCGAATTTATTCTAGGGTAACAGATTATAAACAGCTTGTGGACTGGAATTACATCCATTCAAATAGCAGGTACGTAAAATATCGGTAAAACAACAACCTACTTTAGTACATTTCTGACGAAGTCAAAACAAGAAATTACACGAATACTTAAATATATTGTTAACTGCATACAATTATAGGAGTCATATATCTGGGAGAGAATAGCAATTCTATTCAACATTAATGTTATTGACGATGTGGAATTCAGTATCGGATTACTGAAGGCTGTACTAACTCATTTGCTTAACTTTTTAATCGTAATTCTACTCTAGTAGATAGTGCTTGCGTTATAGCATAATTAATCACTATTCCATCGTACCTGTACATTGTTGCACAAACTTAACAATTCGCATACAAGTCACAATTAATTTTATTATCTCCACTTAAAAGAGTTCCAATAGAATGAACAGAATTAAAGTAAACAACGAAACAGAGAACTGTGATATTCTACGTACAATGAACACTGCAGGTGAGAACTGAAAATTCTATTTAAAATGCTAGGTAGCTCATAATAATACACTGAACTCACAATCGATACAAGTAAGCTGGAATGCAAATACTGTGGCGATGAAGGACTCCTGGGATTAACAAATTATTCGATTCGACTAAGTTATCCTTAATGAAGCCTGGCGTCAAAGTACCTGCTTGAGATCGATCCTCCGTATGATCACACGGAAATTTGCCATTCCATGGAACTCGAATTTCCGTTACCTTGACAAGAGTTGAGCGATATGGCAAGACTACAGAACCAAGTCCAATTAAATGAGGCATGGCATGTGCAGTTGGTTTATCTTCTACACCAGTGTACTCCTGTAATGGGGCAGCAACCTGGAGGGGAAAATCGATTGCTTTTAAGGGAACTAACTATATTTTTTACAAAATACTGGGCAACAGCATGTCTCTGTACAATACAGACACAAACATATTATACAAAGAAATGCAAAACTATTGTTTAAATATAGTCAGTCAATCAGCTACAACGTAGAACCAGGAAAATATTTATGCATCGGTCCAAGTTGCCATACCGCACTAGCACAACAAGATGAACACCGGATTCATAGAAGTAGTCATATCAAGGGTAGTAGTATATAAAAGAAAGATTGTTTATAAGGATATAATACAGGAAGAATTAGTTCGTAGAATGAAAGACATAAAGCGATTTTAATATCTTAGATTAAAGGAAGACAGAGAGTGTATACACCGACGTCATTGTAATCGATTCTTAGCCATGTCACCAAGAGTCTCCAACCATTGGTTACGATAGTCACGCGGACCCCAACCAGGCAGTCTGCATCTACCAACATGGCTCAGACCAGAAGTTAGTGACTTCAAGCACTGATGCCACGTTTTGGTTTGGCTGCCCCTAACTTTCTTCCAATTATCCCTAACGCCGGTTAGCATTGCGCGCCATGGTAATCAGTGTTCAGGCCATACGCAGCACGTGGCCTAACCATCTCAGTCGATGAAGATTCATAACTTCATCAACTGATTTACCATCATTCCCTAATACTATGCGTCTAACCTCACTATTACTTACCCGGTGATCTCAGCAGAAGCGAGCAATATTTCTAAGACACCTGTGGTCAAATACTAGTGACTTACGAGTATCTTCAACTCTCAAAGGCCATGTTTCGCAGCCGTATAGTAGAACGGAACGAACTACCGCTCAGTATACTCGTCCCTTAATTGATAGACGGATATCTCGCCTTCGCCATAGGTGACGTAAGTCGGGAAAAGCCAAACGAGCTTTTTAGTCCGTGCTGAGATTTCGTCAGACACCAACCCATTAGGGCTGATCAGACTTCCAAGATAAGTGAAGTTGTCAACCCGTTCGACTACCTCACTCCCTATCCTTAGTTCAGGTGTTGACGCAGACCAGTCCTGAAGCAACAACTTGCATTTAGAGGGAGAGAAGCGCATCCCAAACATTCTGGCATTGTTGCTCAGTGCTACCAAAAGACTCTGCATTTCATCAGCGTCTTCACTAAACTGGACTATATCATCTGCGTATTCTAAGTCAATAAGTGGACCTCCTGGTAGGAGATCGATACCCAAGAATTCAGTCGATGAGAGCGTTATTTCCATCAGTAGATCTATGATGAAGTTAAACAAAAATGGAGAAAGTGGACAGCCTTGACGGACCCCACTTGAGGTTGTGAAAGCAGATGACAGTTCGCCATAAGCTCTCACTCGACTAGTAGTGTTCGAGTAAAGAGCCTTCACAAGGTTTATGTACTTCTGAGGTACGCCTTTCAATGACAGACACTGCCACAGAACCTCTCGGTCAACAGAGTCAAACGCTGCTTTTACGTCAAGGAAGACCACCATTGTCGGACGCCGATAAGTATGCCTGTGTTCTAGAACCTGACGAATGGTGAATATGTGGTCGATGCAGCCACGACCAGGTCTAAAGCCAGCTTGATTCTCTCGTGTTTGAAGTTCACGAGTCTTAGTTAGGCGTCCGATAATTATCGAGGCTAGTATTTTAGATGCTATATTAGTCAAACTAATCACTCTATGGTTGTCACAGGATGATTTTGACCCTTTCTTATATATTGCGACGATAAGTGATTGTGACCAGTTAGATGGGATAACGTCTAACTCCCAGATTTTAGCTGAAATATTAGTCAACTTAGTCGCTAGAATTCGACCACCATCCTTAAAGACCTCTGGGGCCAATCCATCTGGACCAGCTGCCATTCCTCGTATCAGATTAGCTATAGCTTTTTGAACTTCAGCTAGTTTGAGGACCTACTTCCATTCACACTCTTTGGAAATGGAGGGTAGTTGTAGAGTAGCTAAAGGCCAGCTGACCTATTTTCTAAAATGTTCTGCCAACCGTTTCAAACGTTTATTTTATTTATTTATTTTAACACATAAATTTTGGTACAAGAGGGCACCAAATATATATGCGCCACGCAAAACAATGAGAATTTAAAGAGAAGCGAAAAAAGAACGGAGGGTAAGGAGCGTAAAAAAACGAAAAGGTACAATCAGAAGAAATCTTTCAGTTAAGGAAGAAGCAACCACTCTTTACGAAGAAAGTAAAAGAAGTTTACAGCAGGTTCCCCACTGGCTTCTATTCTGAGCCATATCTGATAACGTCTCTAGACACTGTGTTGCACCATCTCTCGGACCTCAGCCAGAGAGTCGTGAAGGACTAACACAAGTCGGCCCTTTGCAGTTTCCTTTCATACCACGACACCATGTCATATACTGACCACCTCTCCGCTTTTTTCAATCAGTCCCCAAGTCGGCAAATAATGCACGACGTGGAATTCTCTGGGACGACATTCGTAGAACATGTCCAAGCCACCGAAGTCGATATTTCAAGATGGTGGCACCAATTTCATTATCGTCTCTGTGCCCGAACACACGATTCCGAACCTCTGCATTACTAACATGGTGTTGCCATTGGATGTCAGCAATCCTTCGGAGACAACGATGATCAAACACAGAGTCGTCTAACATCCTCAACTCGGAGAGACCAGGTTTCACAAGCATAGAGCAAAACTGCTCTCACCGACGCGTTGTAGATCCGACCTTTTACAGCCAGACTAACATCACGAAGGCGCCAAAGATGGCCCAGATTGGCATAAGCCGCTCTGGCTTTCACTATACGTGCATTGATCTCATCACTCACACCACCCACCACCATCACTTATGCAGCTACCTAGATACACGAGCTTCTCGACTTCTTCTATCTGCTCACCATCCAGAGTGAGTACAGGATTAGAATCCTGCCAGTCTTGTAGAAGTAATTTGCACTTCGAAGGTGCAAATCACATACCATACCTACGGACATTGATCGCCAACTGAATAAGTGCGGATTGCATGGCTTGGGCATTCTCGCTCAGTAAGACAATATCATCCGTATACTCAGAGTCGAGAAGTCAGGCAACAGATCCACACCACCATTATTTACATCCGCCAGAGCTGTTTCCAGAATGGCAAAGTTGAAGAGGAATGGTGAGATTGGGCAACCCTGCCTAACTCCACTGCTTGAATGGAATAATGAAGAAAGGTGGTTGTATGCCCTCACTCTGCCTGAGGTGTTTGTATATAGGGCTTTCAGGATGTTAATAAACTTCTCAGGCACACCCTTTTCAACAGACAATACCAGAGAACAGTTCTGTCCAACGAATCGAAGGCAGCCCTGATGTCAAGAAACACTACGATTGTTGGCCTTTGATAAGTATGGCGGTATTCTAACATTTGGCGGAGGGTGAAGATATGATCAATACATCCTCGACCAGAACGAAACCCAGCCTGCTCCTCGCGATTCAATCTTTCTCGGGTTTTGAACAACCTAAAAAGTATAACTGAAGCCAATAGCTTGGACGCAATCGGAATTAGACTTATCCCCCGATAGTTGTTACAAGAACGACGTGAACTATTTTCAAAAATAGGGACAACTATCGACTCATTCCATGAAGTTGGTACACTCTCTTGTTCCCAGACCTCTGTAAACAACGTCGTCAGTTCCTTATTCAGAAAGTCACCACCATCTTTAAAAAGAGCCGCAGGTAAGTCGTCTGGGCCCGGTAATTTGTAACGTTTCAAGAGCTGGAGTTCCTTACGGACTCCCGCCTCATTTTCTGGTCCAGTCGTCACCGGCCATAGAGGGCAGGACAGTCTGACCGATGTTGCCGGAGCAGTAGGCCAGTTGAACTGCCCTTCAAAGAATTCTGCCCATCGTCCAAGACGTCGATGGATGTTAGTGATTGGCGTTCCGTCATCCTCGCAGATTGTTTCGCTCACACCAGACTTCTTGCTGCCAGTGGCTCGGATGAGTTGGAAGAGCTTCCGGTAATTACCAGATGCAGCTGCTGCTTCCAACTCACTGGCACGCTCCGACCACCAGGTTTCTCGGTCCTTACGCAAGCTTTGCCCGATTTCATTACGTAACATCCTTCGTCTGTGGTCAAACTCACGGTCACCTGGAGTAGACCGACGGGCTTCAATCAGTTGTAAGGAACCAGAAGAAACCCAGTGCTTGTAAGCGGGACGTTTCGCAAACCCACAACAGACTGTACCCGCCATTTTCATGGCGTCATGCAATTGCAACCAATGCTCATCTATACTTTTCGGTGGAATGGTAGCTAGCCTAGGAGCTAGCTCGGTTCGATACTTACTAGCAACAGAAGTTGCAGCCAACTTGCTAACATCAATTTTTTGGTGGCGGTCACTTTGTTAGCCACTGAAAAGTAAGGTAAGTTTGGCGCAGACCAGGGCATGATCAGAGTCCAGATAGGTACTCCAAAAGGAGCGGCAGTCTTGTATACAACCACGCCAGCGGTAGCTGATCCGAGATAGTCTCACCTACACCTGACTTTTTAGTTCCAATTTCCTTTATGAGTATGAAGAGCTGTCTGGTGTTAACTACAGCCGCCGACTTTTCCATTTCTTTTGCTTTCGTTTCCCATTACTGCTCACGGTCGTTCCTTAGACTTTTGGTTAACCTAGATCTGATTTGTTTTCGTTCTTTATCGTGTTCAGAGCCTGGTGGAATGAGTTTATGAGAATCCATAAGTGCAACAGACCTTGAAAAATCCGTTGGTTCTTTGTAAACCTGTGGTTAAAATCACTAATAGATGTCACTGTTGTTTCCACAGCTGCTTGTATATCTTTCCAAGCAACATCTGGATCAGCCTCGTTATCAGAACTACCTAAGTGTGAACTCAGTTGTTCTTGGAACCTACTTTTGGTTTTCTCGTTACTCAGTTCAGTTCTAATGGGTCTTTTTAGTGTGGCTATTTTGCGTCCAGTGAGACGCAAGCAGATGCGTGCTCGTATTAGGGCATGGTCAGAGTCCAATCAGGTACTCCAGAATAAGCGACAATCTTCTATCGACCCTCTCCAACGATGACTGATGGCAATATGGTATATTTGAGTCCATCGTTAGTTTGGTGCAGGGGGTCGCCATGTTAGACGATGTCTCTCCTCATGCTTAAAATTTGTGTTTGCTAAAAACAAACGGTTGTCTGTGCACAGTTGCAGCAGACGATCACCATCTGTTCGCTGTGTCGGAATACTAAAATACCCACCTAAATGTCTTACTGTTTCGTTTAAGCTACCTACCTGGGCATTAAAGTCACCTGCTACGAGTACCATGTCTGAACGTTTAGCTTTTTGAAGAAGTTCAGAGAGTTTTTTGTAAAATTCATCTTTCACTTCATCCGAGCTGCAGTCAGTGGGAGCGTAGGCAGAAACGACGAAAAGGTAACGACGTGTGTCCTTATCCTTTCGAGTTCTTACGGAGCCGTTTAGCCGAACAGCGCATAGACGACTGTTAACGGGGATCCACTCTAATAGCGCTTGTTCCGCCCTCATGCTAAGTGCTATGCCTACACTTGCCAGTCCACGATAAATAGCCGTTGGGTTGCCAGATACACAAAGAGTGTATCTCGTCGGCTCTCCGTTTCGCCGAGGTGAGGTCAAGTGAATGACCACAATAGGATCCTGTATGCGTGTTTCGGAGACACAGCATACATCAATCGTACGAGATTCTAGAGTCTCAACCAAGGAATCCTGCTGACCGATTTGACATAGTGTGCGTATGTTGAAGGCTCCAATGTGTAGTATTCAGCGAGGTTTCAGTAGACCTGGGACAGTGTTTTGCGCACTAGAATCGTGGGCCATGGTGACACTTGAGGAGGAAACCAAAAGAGGAAGCTTAGATTTGAAAGTCGATGTAGGAGGAATAATAGGAATGGAAGAGAGAGGTTGATTATGAATACAGTGGTCTTGAGTGCTGTTAGAGGTATGAGGGCGGTTGTCACTTCCCGGTTGCCCATACCGTGAAAGGCTTCTTCTGGAGGTACCTGAAAAGGAAATTGGATTCAAGGTGGTCTTAATGACCTGAGAGCGTGACTGAAGTGCCCAAGGGACAACTGCTTGAGGTCGGTCACACACAACCTTTTTATGAGTGATTTTCGTGTTAGCTCCGTACTTGTTGAGACCTTACCGCCGGAGACGGATATCCGTGGGATAAGGCGAGGTGTGCATTTTTAGGGTCGACCTTTTCTAACCCCTCCCCTCCTTGTGGGAAGGCAGCATCGCTATTATGCTGGTTGTCTGAAGGAAACACCTTACTGCTGTCACACCTCTATACAGTCAACAGTACGACTTCGTCTTCGGACCTTGGGTTTGTTGCTTTTAGTCTTACCGCTTTTCATCCGACCTGTCTGGCATGGTAGTACCTTGAGGGACGTTTGTTCCAGTCAGTATAGCTCGATTGTTTCATCACGATAGGCAAGCCCGACCACCACGTCAAGATAGCGACGGTAGGGCTGTTTAAACATACATATGGCAGCTTACACAGTCCGCACTTGAAAAAAATCATAAGTGCGACATTACACTTGGATATGATTGATCAAGATGTGACGATATTTTAATACGTTTACAAAATTCAACGTTATAACCGTTAAGACTATAATAAGTTATGTAAACAAGATTCGAAGTGAAATCCCACTTTCTGCTAAGTTGTCTAGCTAATAACACAAGAATTTATAGTGATAGCAGTGTTTAAATAAATGTATGCCAAATGATAGCTTTACAATAATGATAATAATCACAAGGACGTGAATGAATATACCTCGACATGTGCGAAGCCACCTTGTATGGTAAGAACTCGACCAGGCCACCACGCCCCAGGTGGACCACTAGACATACTTTCCACAGGGTCGCTCGTTTCTACATCTGTTGTACTTTTTTTCTTTGCAGTCGAACCAGAATCTAGCCAGACCTCAACAGGATCTCTGGGTGAGAAGTTATGGTTTGAATTATGAGGCATTTCCTCATTTTCAGACGAACCAGATCGGATATCCAGCTTGTCGTTGATCGAAAACGCATTTGGGGCCAATTGAAGCTCGGAAAGACCGACTTTAATTGTACAGTGACTAAAGTTGGTAAAGGAATATCATGGTAGAGATACAGGTTTTAACAAACCACATTAAGTAAATACCTATAGTTAACTGTAAATTTGATGAACTCAGTTGTAAGCAACATAGAGACTGATACGTACATCGGTTTATCTTGACACACCATATTACTAAAGACATGCCATAGTATTATGAGTAGTAACTATTAGAGGTAACTGAAAGACCACCAAAAGATGTTTTGACAAAATATGGATTCGTGGGGAAAAACCATACAATATAGGAGCTTAGGATACAAGAGTAGATAGAGAATGCACCTGCGCTATTGAAAACGATTTTGAGCGAATTCACCAAAAGTATTTAACCACTGGTTACGATAGCTGTGAGAACTACCAGATCGCCTGGACTTACCTACACAACTCAGTTTAACAATAAGACTATTTAAGATGACGCAACGTTTTGAACTGGACGCCCCTAGCTGTTTTCTAACGTACATCTGCACCATTAAGTATCAACTCTACGTAGACGGTGATTAGACAGACATTACGATTGTTAAGTACCCTGTGTATAAACGCAACGTAAATCGGTTATTCCACGAAAGGGGAGTTACCAATTAATAAAACTGAATGCTCCTTTTGGATCAAGAAATATAACTACGGTTGAGAGTTAGTAGGTGTACCTGTTACAGAATATGACAAAGGCCTAACATTTAGTCTACAAATCCACGCCTAAGTCGAAAACCGATCTGGCTTTCATCACACGAAAAAACTATCTACCTAGCTAATGATCTCGTCTTTGATGTCTAATTATTTGGAGGTCTAAGTCAATGACACGGTTTCTTGAGCAGCCTTTAATCGGCCAAGTTATATAAATGTGTTCAGTTATCGACTAGTACCTTAATCACTGATTTTGACAATCGGAAACTATCTATTTAAATCACATAAGACCTTTACTACGATTAGTGATTATCGCAAAAAAAATTGTCTGTTTTTATATACGCTTTTGTTAACTCAACCGAGATCAGTCGACGATAACAAGACAAATCTGAGAATACGGTTCGGATAAACAGCCCCCATTTTCGATCAAAAGATGAGTTTTGCAGATAGACCTTCAACCTTCATCAAAAAGCAAGGTGCTCAAACGTAGCAATCGTACAAGGTGCTTATGACACTAAAGCATGTATGCTAAGTTAAAACGAGGGACATTTAGTTGAGTGTTTTGTCAGCCCTATCCCAAAGAAACTAATGGTTGATCTTGGAGAAAAGGTTCACCCGAAGAAACTTAGCATCACATCCGAACAGCTGTGAAAACAGTAATAAATGCTATCAACGTACATCAAAATGCTAGGACTAACATTTCGGAAACTTCCTGGATTGATGACTATTTAAAAACTTTCTGAGAGTTCGGATTGACCGTAACATATTCCCGCCGTTTTATAAACAAATCTAACCTTACTAAAAAAAAAACCTATTTCAAACAGATAATTTGGAGATATTCTAGACAAACTGAGAATTCTAAACTATCCATTAGGCCGGATAATACATCAAACTGGCTAAGCACTAATTACACCATTTTTGAACGCCTGATTGGTCTTGAAAGCTTGGTGGTTATTGAGATCAATGTTATAAGGTTTTTGGAGTTGCACAGCTTATTGTACAAACGATGATCACTTGACTACTATAATACATGAAGCACTCGATGTTTTGATGTCATGTGGCTGTGAAAAGTGAACCGTAATTGTGAAACAAGTAAGCCAACAGTTCTTTCGTGTCTTTAAAGTATTTGTTGCACATGGCGAAACCATCTGATGAGCAATGATGACACAAAATATCCAGTATTTTATATGGTTGCCAGACCAATTGCCAAGTCTACAGATCATACATAATGATGTAGTTAAGGCATATGTTACACAGATTTAGCCGATACGTACCCTGGTTGTAAACCTAATTAGGATTGTTATAAGAGGGGAAACAGACACCAGCAGATGGCGCCAATTCACCGAGACATCGAGTGATGACTGAAGCCAAGTCAGCACGAGCTGACTTTGGTTATCTTAAGTAGTGGCTATAGTTTATGCAATTCAACAGAAAAGTATGAAGACTAGTGATGAAAAATAAGCTTATTTAAGACGGGAAAAGGAAATTCCTACAGTGATGAAAATCCTGGGTTTGTACAGCGTAACCCAAAGTGATGACATCAGGTTTATAAGGAATAGTGGTTAGAAGAGCACATACGCTTATAAATCTATGACTATAAACGGTCACTATTATGTGCTGAAAAGAACTTATCAACTAGCTTGATCGAACCAACATACTAAGTAATATTTCTACAAATGGAGCTTTCAATCAACAATAACCAAGTTAGTATGGCAGTTCGGCAGGTAACACCTCTACAAATAAGTAGCAAACTAATCACTTGTTCAGAAAAATATTCTTTGGAAAAATACCCGCATGCTTTGTTTAACTATTTATTGTTTTCGATAACGACGGTATAGAACCACTCTTTTCAATACATTTACAATGAACTACTTACTTTGCAGTATACCGTATTGTACACACCGTTTTTTCAATACCAACTAACAGTGCCTGGAACGAAAATCATATTAATTGTTTTTCACTACCGGAATCTTTTGGTGTTCGGATCCAATCTGTTCAACCGGGATAGTCAACTCCATCTCCAACTAACAAACAAACAGATAGGCAACGCAGTGGTCTTCAAGGTTAGTTATAGGAATAAAACAAACAAAACGAGAAACCCCTGAAGAGTATTTGCAAAGCCAATAAAACACATACTTTTAAAACAAACATAACTCAGCGGCTTATGCTAAGAAAATTTAAAACCGAAGTCTGTCAAGTACAAATGGTTCAAATGGTTGTGGACAGAGTAGAAGGAGCTTTGGCTTAACAGGCTTCCGCGTCTAGTAGCAAGAGGTTACCAATACCTCCAGGCAAGAACCTAGGTATATTAACGATAAAACAGGAAAATGAAATCAGTGAATCATAGTAAAATACTATCCTTTGACCTTAAGAATAGATCAAGTCGCCTCTTAAAGGACTCCTGGGAAGTTGCTTGGACTAGCTCAGCTCGCAGCGAATTCCAGCATTTGACAACTCCTATGGAGTAGAAGTTGTGTCTGCAGTCCGTTCTACTATGTTGTATTTCCAGTTTCTGGGTGTTACCCCTTAGGTTAGTGTTGGGGCTAAGCTTAAGTAGGTGTTTAAGAGAATGTCCATGAGTGTTAAGGATACTGTAAGCCATTAGAAGCTCACCTCTAAGACGCCTATACTCTAATGGGTAAAGGTTAAGTGTTTGGAAGCACTCTTCATAAGGTTTAAGTTTTAGTCCCCGAACTAATTTCGTGGCTCGCCGTTGGATACGCTCCATAGTGTCCTTATCCTTTTGGAGTGTAGGAGGAAATACTATGTTTCCGTACTCTAAATGGGGACGAATGAAACTATTGAAGATTATGTGGAAAGTTCTTCCGTCAAACTGACCAAAAATGCGCCTCAATGTTACCAGTGTAACGTTTGCTTGAAAGGCATTTCTATCACAGTTGGTGTAAGGCTTCAGATCGTAGGGCACCAGGACTCCTAAATCTTTTCCGACTCGGAATACTAGTAGAGAGGAGTTTCCTAAGTTGTCGCAGATGGACTACTTTACACTTCGAAGTCGATTCAGATCCTCCTGAAGTGAATTTATATCGTCTTGTTGAGAAGTTTAAGGATAATCAATAGTCGTGTATACCAACCCATAACAGGGACTCCATGATTTTTGAAGGTATAGAGAGAAGAGCCACCGGTCGGTAACTTGAAGGTTCGCTGCGTCGACCTCCTTTGAAAATTGGTGTGATATGAGCCAACTTCCAATTTTCCGGTACTTTTCCTTGCCTTATCGAGAGTGAGAACATCACTCTAAGCGCTGTTGCCAGGATTGAAGCTGCTTCCCTCAGTATAGCAGAATGGACCATATCTGGACCTGGAGACGTGTCTGTTCTTAGGTGCTGTAGTTTTCGGAGCACCAAGTCAGTCCTTAGTTTCACTACGGATAGTCCTGTGCGGTTGCAGATGAAGCTGTCGTCAGTATATTTGATGTGGGACGGTTTAAATGTCCGGGAGCATTGCTCATCCAAAAGGTTAGCGGCGTCACCGTCGTTATCGGTCGGGCCGTTAGGACCTAACAGTTGGGAAACTCCAGTTTTCGCTTGACGAAGAGAGGCTGCGTAACGGAATAAGCTTTTGGGATTGGAAATAAATTTATCCATAAGCTTTAACTGGTACTGAAGCCTTTCTTCTCTCATTGACTTCATGCATAGGTTCCTTATATGTTTGTATTGCCTGTACTCGCCGTTGTTGTCAATTCGTTTGTATTTGGCCCAAGAGGGCTTTTTGTGGCTTAGCAGGCGAAGGGTGCGGTTCCTAGTGATTTTAAGTTGCTTGTAGCATTCGGGGACCGTTTGAGGAACTGACTGCTTTATAGCACATAAGAGCGTGTGTAGTAAGAAGTCCCAGTGAGCATCCACATCAGGTTGATGGTGAACATCCCCAATCCACCTGTTGTAGATAGTCCTGTAGAGTTGACAAATTCAACAGTTTCAAATCCAGAGATTGTTGCTGGTGGCATATCTTAGCTCAGTTTTTAAATACGCAGTTTAAAGGTTGTTGAGGATAACTCGTGCTGAAGATCAATGTCTGCTTGTTTAAGCAGAGTCGATTCCTTGGAAACTGTTCAATGAAGTCATACAAGACAAGGCGTCTGAAACTATATCGTTTGCTCCAGAGATGTGTTGTATATCTGAAGTAAACTGCGAAACAAATCCAGTCGGCGAGACTCTTGAGGGAAGTACTTGTCTGAAGATGAGTTTAAAGGGAAGGTAAGTGGTTCGTGATCGATGAAAAGAGTGAATTCTCGGCCTTCAACGGAACGTTGAAAGTGTCGTACAGTACATCACATGGCTAGGATTTGTCTACCGAATGTTCTATACCTCGGTTCGATGTCTAGCAACCGTCTTGAGAAGAATGATAATGTTTGACAGATGTGTTGTATCCCGATAAGAATATTGAATGGTAATTCTTGGGATCCAATTATGGACCGATATTATGAGTATATTTTTACCGTATAATTGCCACGTAACTAGTCTGTTCATATCCATGTCCCTCTTATTATGAGTTTTATTTCGACCTATGAACTATCATTGTACGATTTACCATTCTTGAGTTATGCCCTATCTATTGATTCCTATCTCCCTCATTCACAGCCACATCTGGCTAATTATTGTACGAATGTTGTTTCATATTTTATTGGTACGTTGTGGTCTGTTTGATCGGTATATAAACCGAGTGTGTTTGAAATATAATGATTCATATCTCCGAGGCTGAGACTTGTGTTCTGGACTCAATTGGCTGGGCTAGACAGGGAAGCAGGACCAATCAGAGCTCTAGGCTGCTCGGTCGTATTTTGTGCGTCACTGTTTTCGATCGATAATAGGCTGCTCTCTAATAGGCGGATCACACGTTATAACAAGATGTGGTTAACCGATTGTTGCAAGACTCCTTGGATTGCCTGGTCAGATGCGTCTACCACGATACTAATCTGTGAGTCGGTGTTCTGGTGTGAGAGCAACGTTACTTTGGAAACAAGTTCCTTAATTGGGAAGGATGCTTTTTCACGATATCGTCCACATTGTTGGATTTCACATTTCCGCGAAGTTTGTCGATTATAGATCTTATAGGGGACGCGTGATTTGGCACGAACCGTCAATAGAAACTTACTAGACCATTGAACGTGCATCGTCAAATGATTATGGTCGGTTCTGCGTAATTCAGAATGGTCACTACTTTGTTTTTCAGGAGTCGGATGCCTTGAGTATCAATATTGTGTTCGATGAAATGTATGGAGTCGGTGCCAATTTGACATTTCTGGATGTCTAAAGTAGTGCCGTGTTTTTAAATCATTCGAAGAGTAGGTCTAGACGCTGGAGATGAGATGCTCCGTCTGAACGTGCGATCAATCAGATATTTACATTCGCGCTTTCGAGAATATAGGTGGTCCTGTAGTCACGATATGATATGTAACATTGCTGGTTGCGCACAGCGATTTCGGTTGTGCTTGGTATATCCTAGAATACTTATACGGTAGTGGTTGATGGACTGGGTCTATCATGTGCTCAAGTAAGACAGGAGATAATCTGCAACCGGTAAAAGAAGTTGCGCAAACAGATGAATTAGTTTCCTCTCTTATAGCCTCCATTTGCGCGCATCGATCGGTAGAATGTAGTGTTGCAGGAGATCTATACCAATGATTGACGAGGAAACGTCTGCAACAACGAAGATCCGGTGAATGGTTTTGCATAAACCCACGTTAAGATAAACGCATCATTTACCATATGTGATGATTGGCTTTCTGTTTCCCGCCTGTAAGTATAAAACTGATTCGTGAAGCCGGTCGTTAGAATTTGCTGGGAGAACACTAACTTCTGCGGCAATATCGGAGAGGTATCGAACTTTCTTTATCACATCTGTGACGTATAACAGGCAGCTATGTTGACCGGCTACGGTTGTCGTGGACGTGTGCCGACTGGAACGTTTCACGGATTGTTTTTGGTGCTGGTCGATTTTGGGTTCGCAAAATTGCAGGGTTTTCTGCGAATTCTGGAAAACTTTCCATATTGGTTATGATAAGCACCAGCCGCTGTTATTGGTCTCTCGTGCTTTAGAGACCAATCGCCTACGTGAAGTGTTTCTTTGCGGGGTGTGTGACCGTTTACGGTCATTACGAAATTTAAGATAATGTGTTAGTGTATGGCATAACTCTGTTATGTCATTCTGGGTCGTTTGAAGCTTTTCCTTGACTGTAAAACCTCAGCATTGGAAAATTTCGTGATTTCCAGGATACGGTCGGCAGATGCAGCCAGATCGTCTACTGCGTTGTTTTAAAACGAGACCAGCACAGCTTGCACCTGTTGAGGAAGTTTAGATAAGAAACGTTGTCTGAATAAGCCATCATCGAAAGTACTTTGGCCGATAACCTCTCCCATTCTTTACAACATGTCTGTCGCAGGACCGTGTTGCAGGTCGATGTTATCAAGGAGTTGGTCTAAGCTTTGTCGATCGGTTATATCTCCACGTTTAAGGATAGATCGTCTAAGTGTTTCATAGAGTTCCGAAATATCACTAGCAGACATACTGGATGCTATGTACATATTGAATTCACGCGGTAGTGCCTTGACTACTGCGAGGAATTGTGCACGTTTTTCGTTCACATCGTGCTCATGGAAGTTGGCCTCTGTATAACAGAACCAGTTTTGGGAGTTGTCTGGCTAAAAGAGTATTACTTGAAACGAAGGTGAGGACATGGTCTTTAACTTAAGTACCTTAGGTGTCTGTTGGCGAATAAACTTGGTGTCTAAACTGGAGTTTGGTTCTGTCGTCTATTTGGGTTAGTAATTTGCAAGTTGATCGATACACCGTACTTCGATAGCTAGAACGAGCAACACTTGAACACAAAACTCACTAATGAAGAATGCCACAGTTATTTGGAGTTTGACAAAGCTTTATCAAGTAACACCTCCTAAAATAAGTCGTATCCAACAAGTGAAATCAAATGACAGAAGCAATGATTTTTGAAGATATATTCGATAGGCTATCAATATATCGAGGATCGTCTGATATAATCTGGCTAGCGATCGCGGGGAATGTTCAGCACGGCGTTCCCACTCGTGAT